AATTATTTAGTTGTCATCATTGAGACTTGAGTTGGAAGAATGACTTTAGCCAAAATGTTTATAAAACCCATATGAAGAAAACTACACAACTCTGACAAAAGAAGTCAAAGAACTAAATAAATGGAGAGATATTCCATGTTCATGGATAGGAAAACCCAATACTGTCAAGATGTCAGGTCTTCCCAACTGATCTATAATTCAATGCAATCCCAATCAAAATACCAGCAAATTATTTTGTGGATATTGACAAACTGATTCCAAAGTTTATATGGAGAAGCAAAAGACCCAGAATAGCCACCCAATATTGAAGAAGAAAAAGGATGGAAGCATACCCTTAATGCTGTTCAACTGTACACTTAAAATGGTTAAGATGGTCCATTTTTATCATGTAAGGATGTGCAGAGTTCCCAGGACCTGCCTGAGTGGTAGTCTCTGGCTGGAGGAAGGACTAGCCCTGGGCCACAAGTACACAGAGGTTAGAGGGGTGGACATACCATTGTAAAGGCCCTCAACTCAGACGAGACACGGATGTGACTTTTGTCTTCTTTCGACACACCCATTATTCATACTCTACACAGTAACCATTTGTTCTTTTGTAACGGGTGGAAAGCACAACAGATCATCTCTACCAAACCAATTTCCACAGCAAACTGATCATCACGGAAACACAGACGACAGTCTATGGAGGAGTTCGCATGTGGGCGGCCACCAGGGCTCTATCCCTCATGGCCAAAGCCAGACGAGGGAAGCTTGAACCCTGCTTGGGAGCCTTGCCCCATGCTGTCTCCTTTCCTTTCAGGCTTACCCTGCCGTAAAGCTTTTTAAGAGGATAAGGTGTCGCTAACAAGTGACTGAAGGAAGAGAGCCTCTTTTCTACCCCAAATTTTTACCAAATGAGTATTTGCCACACAAATTAGGTGGATTTTTCCATCACTTCCTTGGTGATGGGTATGTAGGGTCTTCCCCTGGTTCAATGCAAAACCTGAACTTGGTGTTGCGGTAGGACTCGACCGTGCTGCAGACAGCAGCCTCTTTTCGGGGTCACACAGGTGCTCCTGGCCCTCAGCACCACCCACTTCCAGGTAGCCATGCCCCAGGGCTCTGGGACACCCAGCCGGCCAGGCCGTACCACCCTGAGGGGTTGTGGAACCCTCCCCTCTGACGTGCCGGCAGTTGCTTCCAGAGAAACAGGGTTTCTGCAGAGAATGGCCCATGGAGACGCTGTGCCCAGAGGCACTGAATCCACCGGCATGCACATTCTACAGGACCACGGCTGTTTGGCCAGTGGCACCGGAGGTCTCCAGGCATTTGGCTCCCTGAACACCAGCTAAATCCCAGGAGTGCACTGAGGCAGAGAGTTACTTTCAGGAAGCCTCTGGACTGCAAATTTAGAGGAAAGTTGGTCTTTTCCACTAAGTATGTAAGAAGAGAAATCTTTACCCTCCAACACTGGACACCTTGCCACGTGATCTTCTCTATGCTGCTCCTGCTAGAGGACACACACACACTTTTTTAAAAAATTCAATTAATTCAATATAGTACATACTTAGCTTCAATGTAGAGTTCAGTAATTATGAGGTACATGCTTCTGCACAGCAGAGAAAGCTAAACTGTGCCGCTGAAAGGTTATTTACAGCTTTAGAATCCAGGTACAATTAGCCAGAGAAACAGAGTAAACTGTGTTCAAATCTATATTTAATACAGTTGCCTCTTAGGAGACCCAACCCTGTCCTCAGTGACCTGATGTCGGGGTGACCCCAACTCTGTTCTCAGTGACCTGATGTCAGGGTGACCCCAGTTCTGTCTTCCATGACCTGACATCGAGGTGAGTGCTACCATTTAGCCTCTGAGCTGCAGCTTCCTAAACAGCAAAATGAGGCTGAAAATAATACGGTATTTTAAGGGTGATATGAAAATCAAATGAGGCTGTTTACGTGGAAGAACCTACTGGCTCATTCACTCAGCAAACAGGCTCCGGGTGCTGGGATGCAGACAGGGACAGGGGAGGGTGTGCCATCTTCCGAAGCTGACAGTCTATGAGGGGAGAGAAGCATTTATCAAATGACCGCACGCCACACCCTGTGAGACGTGTTCTGGGGAAGGTACAGTGCCACAAGCTCATCACGTTCAAACGGCCAAGCCGAAGTCTGCCAGCAAGGTCGGGCAGCCCTTGGCTACAGGTGCTAAAACAACCACAGAAGGGATGCCCAGGGGCTCAGCAGGTGAGTGTCTGCCTTCAGCTCAGGGTGTAACCGCAGGGTCCTGGGATCAAGTCCTGCGTCAGGCTCCCTGCATGGAGCCTGCTTCTCCCTTTGCCTATGTCTCTGCCTCTCTCTCTGTGTGTGTCTCTCATGAATAAATAAATTTAAAAATCTTAAAAAAAAAAAAACAACCACAGGAGACTGTGCCCTCCTCACAGAAGGGCACATTGTCATGGCCTCTGAAGCCTTCTTGCTGGGCAGTGAACACCACGGTCAAATCTCTGGGCTAGCCCCTACAGCTCCAGGTTCACACAAAGTACAAAGCAAAGGAACAAGGTACGTGTTATCTTCAGGACACAATCAGCAAAATCCAGAATGTGAAAAACTCTACGATAAAATGTGTTTTTTAAAAAATGTTGTTAGAAAAATAACTAGATAAATAAATAAAATAAATAAAAAATGTTGTAAGGAAAGGAAGAAGAAGAGGAGAACCCTTCTGCAAGGTTATAGACCTGCCACTTCAATGGCTCTCTTCTCTGGATCCTGCTTCAAAACCAAAACAAAATAACTGTGAAGAACATTCGTGACCACTAAGAAACATGACCACTGATTGGGTAATGATATTAAGACACTAGTACTTATTTTAGTACATGGTAAGACTCTTGTGGTTAGGGTTGTACATGCATTCTCAGCTTCCTGCAATGTGGTACTGAGATACGGATGGGACCAGCTGAGGGTGGGATGGTGACTGGTGCACAGAAGTAGCAGGAGAGAGCAGGAGTTGCCCTATGCTAAAGACCCAGGATGCAGCACACAAGGTTCATCTTACGGTTCTCTATTCACATCATGATTGACACTTTACATGTCTCTTTTTAAAGCACACAGTGCAGCTGGGAAGACCGTGTACATAAGAAGATAACCAACATTGCAAGTCAGCATGGAAAAAAAAATGCAGTTAATAAGGGTCAGAGGAGCGTGGAGAGTGTTTTGAGAGACGATGTTCTCAAAGATCGGCACCTTGGGAGACACCAAGAAGAATGGAAGGTGCCAAAATAACAGGGAGGCAGGAAGCCCTCCCCCTCCCCACCCCGGGCAGCAGCAGACACACAGAGTACGCCACGTTCCAAGAACACATCTGGCTCTCTAATGGACTTAAGTCCCCTCGGTAGGGGCTCCCTATGTCCAGTAATTAGGACAGAAGTAGCTGATAAGTGGGGGGTTTTTGTCATAGGAGATAGAAAGGAGACAGAGAGGGGTGGTTACAGAGACAAGTAGCCTCTATCGGAAAGTCTGGAGCTCAAGAGCACACAGGTGGTCAGCACCATGGAGAGGGCCTAGACATGGGCGCAGAGGCCACTGCCTGGCCGGAGGGTGGCCAGTGGGTGGCTGGAAGGTGGCCGGAAGGTGGCTGGTGGGTGGGTGGCCAGAGGGTGGCTGGGCGTGACTTTCTGCAGCATGTTCACAGCAGGGGTGTCAGGGGAGGCTGAGCCAGGGGGATGGAAGGTGCAATGACAATGGGAAAGTCAAATCAGGGGATGATGCCCCCCCCAAGAGAGTCTGGTTCTTAGGAGGGTGCAGAAGGCAGCAGGCCAGGGAAAGGGATTCCTCCGAGCAGCACACAGCTTAATGCAGAGGAGAAGCAGCCCCCAGAGGAGGGAGAGGTGCTGGTCCAGGTGGCAGCCTTCCTCAGAGGAGCACCTGTCGCACCAGCGGGGCACTCATGGGCAAACAAGTCATAAGCAAGTGCACAGTCTGCATTCTTTCCCAAGACGAGTATGAGAAGAAAGCACTGGTAACGGCCACACGCGCCTCCCTCTGATTATGACTTTACATTCCTTCCATTTATAAGGTGTCATCATGGCTTTGTGGACAGAGAGAGAGAGAACAAGGGACCTACTTAGCTGAAAAGCAGCCATAGGTTTAAAAGATGACTGCCAGAGCAAATCCAATTAAGGCGTCACTTAGAGAAAACCAACTGCTGGTGTTAATGTGATTCTCGATTCATTTTTTAGAAGTTTAGAAACCCTTCTCTCTGCTCAATTTTATTATTTGTGTATCTTCAAAGACAAAGACCTATTTTATCAGTCTCATTTTCTATTTTATGGTCTTAGAACAAGGCTGCTAGAAGATAAAGATACCAGAGATGGAGCCGTGGGAGCCAGTCTGTACCCCTTTCCTTAGACAGGGTGCAATGGCATAACCCGCATGACAGCCCCAAGGGAGTGGCATGAAAAGCTAGTCACTTTGAAAGCCTGAATGGTGTCCTCACTGCGGGTGGGTGGTGTTAGCTTCAGACTGGGTCCTTCTGGGGACAGGAAACAACCATAACTCTGTGAGGTGGCCAGCATTGGACCAGAGGAGTGTGGGCGTGACCTATGATGAATCCAAACGCCGTCATGCTCCATTTTCCAAAATGTTCTGTGGCCAACATGGCCTGGGTGCCATATCTGGCCATGTTCCCCTGTTGCAGCACCTTCATCAGTGAAGCAATGAGACGGACACTGCAGGGCCAGGGCCCACACAGCCATGCCTCAGCCACCCCGGAAGGGCCCTTTCCTGCCCCCTGTGCCCCCGCCACCCCGCCGGGTACGACTAGGTCCATCTTCTCTGCTATAGCAGCAGGGAACGGGAGGGTGGGTGGCCCTTCCTCACACCCCACTGGCTTCAGCCGGGACCCAGGGGGCAACGCTGCTACATCACAAGCCATTTCCAGGACGGGCAGAGTACAAAGGACTGGCCCTGGGCGGTGCCAGAGGAACAGAAACAACAAAAACCCAGGGGGCTGGGAGGCTGACTTACCATCGCCCAAGGCAGGGGGGTTCTTGGGGTCTCCTGGAGGTGAAGGCCATTTCTGCAGGGCTTCTGGGGCCGAAAGGACCCTTGCTGCTTTCCAGGGTGCACGTGGCATGTTTTGGGGCCCCAGGTCGCCTTCATTGTGGGGTGCTGGGGACTTCCGAGCTGCAGAGGTGCTCAGTGCAGCAACCAGGCTCTGCCTGTCGGTACCACCATCCACCTTGGGGCTGAGCTCGTCAGGCTGCAGCTGGCCACGGGTCCACAAAGGGCGGCCCCCGGGGTGATTGGCTCGGGGCCCCGGAGCATAAGTCAGGGCAGAGGTCTGTGCCATGAAGGTCAGAACGCCGTCCACACGGGGGTCCTCACCCTGCAGGGGCCAAGGATCAAACACAGCAGGTAAGCCTCTGGGTCAACCACATGAGACGGCGTCTGACCTCAGTGCTCAAGGCTCCAGGTGGCACCAGCATCTCTGAAATGCCCACCCCAATCCTTAGGCCCAAAAGACCAAACTCCAAGGCCCGTATCCATCTGGCACTGGTTTTCTAACATCAGCTTTATGGAAACGGAATTCACAGACCACAAAATATACCCGACTCAGTGTTTCCAGTATATCCAGGTAGTGAGAGCACCACACGGTCATTCATTCCAGAATGTTTTGATCACCCCAGAAGAAACCTTGCACTCGTCCCCATTCCCCCAGCCCAAGGCAACCACCTGTCCACTTTCTGTATCTACGGAGTCATCCATTTGGGACGGGTCATGTAAATGGACTCGTACACCATGTGGCCTTTCCCAGCACACCCAGTACTGCATTCCTTCCCGTGGCTGAAAAAACACTGTTGGACAGAGAAAGCACGTTTTCTATCAGTCGGGGTGATTTCTATCAGTTGGGTGGTTTCTCATTGGGGGCCATTATGAATAATACTACTATAAACATCCATCTACCAGTTTTGGGGGGACACATGTTTCCAATTCTCTTGGATTTATGCCGAGACATGAAACTTCCAGGTAGTACGACATCTCTGCATGCCAGGATGATTCCAACATGGTGCACCGCGTTACACTCCCGCTGGCAAAGTGTGAGGACTCGTCTCCCTTGCTCCTGGCCAGCACTTGTCATCAGCCATCTGCTTCCTTGCAGCCCTCAGTGGGAGCGATGGGGTGTCTTAATGAGGCTGTGGTTCACATCTCCCCGACAGTTAAGGACGTGGAGCATCTCTTCATGGCCTTCTCTCTTATGCAGAGAAAGGTTTCTCCAGGGCCGTCACCTGCCCTGGTGTTTGTTGTTGCTGCAAGAATAGCTCTCTATCCGTGACTGACTCTGTCTTTCAGTAGAAGCACCTACCTCTCTGTCTTATGGTCTTCACTTCACTCCAACTCCTTTCTATCTCCCTTTAAACCACTAGATGTGATACGAAGTCCATGATCCAACCAGCACGGCCTCTTACGGAGTCCCCACCTGTAGGTCCTCCTCATTCACTGAGTCCATTTTCCCAGAAGGGGACCTTCTCATCAGACTCTTGCTATTAGACAAATTGAGGCCTAGTGGTCCTCACCCTGGAACAGCCATAAACATGTTAGGAATTTCACTGTTCTACTTCCGACTATAAGACCATCAAAATCTCATAGACATTTCCAACATAGACATTTCCAACGTGAAGATTCTCAGGGAAGTTATAGCTGTCCCAGGATTATTCAGAGCCCCCTTTGTGGTCTGCAATGGCTCCATGAATCATACATTTTTAAAATCTTGCCCATTCACATTTTCTAAACGCATCTCGCTGGGGGCCAAGATCAATGTCGAGTCAGTGGTGAGCAGACCTTGGGATCTAGTTAAGATGTGCGGCCATCACTGAATTTAAGCCACATGGTTCAGACTCCCAAGTCTGGCTATTTTCAAAGATATGTGGGTTCAGTCTTCCAAGAGGGATTTAGGGGGTAGCAAGTCAAAAATCCGAAAACTAGGGTTGATAGGGGTTCTCGTTACTGTTCTCATATGTGAACTTGAGCAAATCTGTTGACCTCCTGAGACTCAATTTCCATCAAAGGAGCCTGGACATCACCTCTGAGATGGTTTTTATGTCTCAAACAATGTCACTTTATTCATCGAAATGGTTTATTTTTTTAATAATAAATTTATTTTTTATTGGTGTTCAATTTGCCAACATACAGAATAACACACAATGCTCATCCCGTCAAGTGCCCCCCTCAGTGCAAGTCACCCATTCACCCCCACCCCCCGCCCTCCTCCCCTTCCACCATCCCGAGTTCGTTTCCTAGAGTTAGGAGTCTTCCATGTTCTGTCTCCCTTTCTGATATTTCCTACCCATTTCTTCTCCCTTCCCTTCTATTCTCTTTCACTATTATTTATATTCCCCAAATAAATGAGAACATATAATGTTTGTCCTTCTCTGATTGACTTACTTCACTCAGCATAATACCCTCCAGTTCCATCCACGTTGAAGCAAATGGTGGGTATTTGTCGTTTCTAATGGCTGAGGAATATTCCATTGTATACATAAACCACATCTTCTTTATCCATTCATCTTTCGATGGACACCGAGGCTCCTTCCACAGTCTGGCTATTGTGGACATGGCTGCTAGAAACACCGGGGTGCAGGTGTCCCGGCGTTTCACTGCATCTGTATCTTTGGGGTAAATCCCCGACAGTGCAATTGCTGGGTCATAGGGCAGGTCTATTTTTAACTCATTGAGGAACCTCCACACAGTTTTCCAGAGTGGCTGCACCAGTTCACATTCCCACCAACAGTGCAAGAGGGTTCCCCTTTCTCCGCATCCTCTCCAACATTTGTTGTTTCCTGCCTTGTTAATTTTCCCCATTCTCACTGGTGTGAGGTGGTATCTCATTGTGGTTTTGATTTGTATTTCCCTGATGGCAAGTGATGCAGAGCATTTTCTCATGTGTGTGTTGGCCATGGTCTATGTCTTCCTCTGTGAGATTTCTGTTCCTGTCTTTTGCCCATTTCATGATTGGATTCTTTGTTTCTTTGGTGTTGAGTTTAATAAGTTCTTTATAGATCTTGGAAACTAGCCCTTTATCTGATACGTCATTTGCAAGTATCTTCTCCCATCCTGTAGGTTGTCTTTGAGTTTTGTTGACTGTATCCTTTGCTGTGCAAAAGCTTCTTATCTTGATGAAGTCCCAATAGTTCATTTTTGCTTTTGTTTCTTTTGCCTTCGTCGATGGATCTTGCAAGAAGTTACTGTGGCCAAGTTCAAAAAGGGTGTTGCCTGTGTTCTCCTCTAGGATTTTGATGGACTCTTGTCTCACATTTAGATCTTTCATCCATTTTGAGTTTATCTTTGTGTATGGTGAAAGAGAGTGGTCTAGTTTCATTCTTCTGCATGTGGATGTCCAATTTTCCCAGCACCATCTATTGAAGAGGCTGTCTTTCTTCCAATGGATAGTCTTTCCTCCTTTATCAAATATTACTTGACCATAAAGTTCAGGGTCCACTCTGGGTTCTCCATTCTGTTCCATTGATCTATGTGTCTGTTTTTGTGCCAGTACCACACTGTCTTGATGACCACAGCTTTGTAGTACAACCTGAAATCTGGCATTGTGATGCCCCCAGATATGGTTTTCTTCTTTAAAATTCCCCTGGCTATTCGGGGTCTTTTCTGATTCCACACAAATCTTAAAATAATTTGTTGTAAGTCTCTGAAGAAAGTCCATGGTATTTAGATAGGGATTGCATTAAACGTGTAAATTGCCCTGGGTAACATTGACATTTTCACAATATTAATTCTTCCAATCCATGAGCATGGAATATTTTTCCATCTCTTTGTGTCTTCCTCAATGTCTTTCAGAAGTGTTCTATAGTTTTTAGGGTATAGATCCTTTACCTCTTTGCTTAGGTTTATTCCTAGTTATCTTATGCTTTTGGGTGCAATTGTAAATGGGATTGACTCCTTAATTTCTCTTTCTTCAGTCTCATTGTTAGTGTATAGGAATGCCATTGATTTCTGGGCATTGATTTTGTATCCGGCCATGCTACCAAATTGCTGTATGAGTTCTAGCAATCTTGGGGTGAAGGCTTTTGGGTTTTCTATGTAGAGTATCATGTCATGGCGAAGAGGGAGAGTTTGACTTCTTCTTTGCCAATTTGGCCTTTAATGTGTTTTTGTTGTCTGATTGCTGAGGCTAGGACTTCCAATACTATGTTGAATAGCAGTGGTGAGAGTGGACATCCCTGTCTTGTTCCTGATCTTAGGGGAAAGGCTCCCAGTGCTTCCCCATTGAGAATGATATTTGCTGTGGGCTTTTCATAGATGGCTTTTAAGATGTCAAGGAATGTTCCCTCTATCCCTACACTCTGAAGAGTTTTGATCAGGAATGGATGCTGTATTTTGTTAAATGCTTTCTCTGCATCTAATGAGAGGATCATATGGTTCTTGGTTTTTCTCTTGCTGATATGATGAATCACACTGATTGTTTTATGAGTGTTGAACCAGCCTTGTGTCCCAGGAATAAATCCTACTTGGTCATGGTGAATAGTTTTCTTAATGTACTGTTGGATCCTATTGGCTAGTATCTTGTTGAGAATTTTTGTATCCATGTTCATCAGGGATATTGGTCTGTAATTCTCCTTTTTGGTGGGGTCTTTGTCTGGTTTTAGAATTAAGGTGATGCTGGCCTCATAGAACGAATTTGAAAGTACTCCATCTCTTTCTATCTTTCCAAACAGCTTTAGTGGAATAGGTATGGTTTCTTCTTTAAACGTTTGATAGAATTCCCCTGGGAAGCCATCTGGCCCTGGACTTTTGTGTCTTGGGAGGTTTTTGATGACTGCTTCAATTTCCTCCATGGTTATTGGCCTGTTCAGGTTTTCTATTTCTTCCTGTTCCAGTTTTAGTAGTTTGTGGCTTTCCAGAAATGCGTCCATTTCTTCTAGATTGCCTAATTTATTGGCGTATAGCTGTTCATAATATGTTTTTAAAATCATTTGTATTTCCTTGGTGTTGGTCATTGCAATGGTTTAAAGTTGTTCAAGTACCAGCTAAAATCAACTGCTTTTCCTTTAGAAAAGGGGGAAGTGAGATTCATTAGGGAAAGGGAGAGTAAAATAAAATGCTACCACACAAATAGCCCCTCCAGCAGTTTCCCACAAATTGGGTGCAAGTGTCAATCCTGAGCTCAGCCCGAACTCCTGCTCAGAGAGGCTGCCTCTGAACACCCCGTCAGGTCATGGTGCTGGGGGCCGCAGAGAGTGTCCAAGTGCCTCATTAATGTGCCCACCAGCATCTCTCCTCTTTGCTACGGGTGCAGCCTAACCCACAGCTTCCATTCAAAGGGCCTTTAATTATGGTCCAAGAGGAAGGCTCCAGGTAAGGGACAAACCAGGC